TACAAGAAGACAAAGAATTAAAACTTACAAGCGTCCAAATACAATTCACTATTGCACGTGACTTTATACCCAAAATGGAACTCACCCAGCAGCAGAGATCACAAATAATTGAGTAAGATAATAGAAAACACAAAACATTTAGACCCTGGATTATGGCCACGAGATATATAGAATAAAACTAAGATGGCTAAAAAAATTTCATTCAATGGAACAATGGGCACCAATAAATTCTCTCAATTTCTTTCACTCAAGAACACACACACACACACAAACGAAAGGGAGGAAAAAAAAGAAAAAATGAGGCCACACAATAAATTCATGTACTCTTCTGTACTGTAACTCATTAACTGACGCAAGCAAATAAAATCTGAAGAAAAAGACCCAGATTAAAACAAACGGGCACCCAAAAAACCCATAAATTCAATCTCCAAATGCAATTTCCACAAAAAAAAAATCCAAGTGTTCTCCAAATTATCCAGACCACTCAATCAAATAAAATCACAGTAAAATAAAAAGAAAGAAAGTCGGTACCTTTGATATGAGAGAAGCTCCCTCTGCTCGAATCCAAGAAGGAAACACCCCCAATTTCTCCTGGAATCGGTAGCTTCAGCGCCATCTTCTTCCAGCGAGAGAGTTGGCTAGGTTGCTATTTTAAAGAGTCCGAAGGGGTTTTTTTATAAATAAAAAAATGAGAGGGGAGATAAGACGAGGAAGGAACCCAGGGCCGAAGGTGGAGGGAGCGAGAGAGCATATAACGGATGGTTTGTCTGTGTCCTTTTTGCATATTAGTCCCTCTGGCATTGTGTTATTGTGTAGGGAGGCGGAGGAGGGAGAAAATATTGAAGGGGGAATAAAATATGGGGAGATACGGTCCACTCTCGGGTTGCAACTGTGAATATTCATTATTATTATTATTATTTATTTAATATTGAACAAGTACAGTTTTCGACATGATGTATCTACCTAGGAGAGGAAACACATTGAATTGAAAGGCCTAGGCTCATGTTTTCTTCACGGGAAATTTTGCAAAATAGATCGTTTTTATGAAATATATAGCAAAATAGATCACTTTGCTAAATAATTAGCAAAATAGACATCTTTTTGACCAATAGGCCAAAAAGAGGTCGATTTTGAAAAAGTGGCTTCAGAAAACATACGGGACTACTAGTCCCATATGTTTAGAGCCAACTAATCTAATGGTTAGCGAACTCAGAAAATATACGGGACTAGTAGTCCCGTATAATTTCTGTTCATTAACAAAACGTACGGGACTACTAGTCCCGTACGTTTTGTAGAGCCACTTCCCTTCTGCGCAGCAAATCCACGGGACTACTAGTCCCGTGGATTTGCTGGGCAGAGGGGCAACATGCACCAAACATGCATGGGCCTCATTTATCGATTACAACCAAAATTTTCGCCAAAAATATATCATTTACATTGTATACTATGATAAAAGTTATAAAATTACAACATCACAACACAAATCCGATCATAGATTACATCACCTTGTCATATCCGACGTAATCAACAATATCACAACACAAATCCGACGGAATACACATCACATCCAAAATCCGACAAAAATACACATCACAAATCCATACGATAATTTATATCAGTCTAAGCTAAACAAATACAAATGTCTCAAGTCGACCCATACGATAATATGCAGTTTAAGATAAACAAATCCAATGTCAATAAATCCATACGACAATATATATCTTAGTGGAAAAACTAACAAATAAAAAATCTACCCCTCCCCCGTTGTCTCTCTCTTCGCACTCGTTGAGATCGTCGGCGTCCTCCTTCGACTTGAGCTTGAATATGCTCCCTCTCCGGTTGTGTGTGGGGCTGTGATGGACCGGCTTGCTGTGACGGACCGGCTTCATCATCGTGCGTGCAAGGTCTACCGCGTCTACGTCGGCATGCATATAGAGTATCGTCAAGATCCACCTGCTCATGACCTTCATGTCGATCCTCATGAGTATGTTGAAAAGCTCTACGAACTCTCACCACTATCCGATGCAATATCGATACATGTACTGAATCTCCTGTGACGGTAGCTATGCCCTCATTTGCAATCCCCTCGACCTCGTCCATAGCATCTATCTACAATTACATAAAAATATTGATATTAGAAACCATAAGCTAAGAAGAGATTGACATTCTATGATAATTTTGACAATTTAACTTACCCATCGTCTCTTATCTACCCCTCTTGGTACATATCGAGATTGTTGGGAGCGAATCTCGATTTCATCGACTGGAGGCGTAGTTTGAGTGATTATCCAACGTCTGGTAATCCCCCAATACCATTTAATGTAATCAACTTCTTCCATCGGAGGATAAAGCTGATTGGCAATATGTTGATGTCGATCATTCTACCTGGCAATGAATGATTAATGTGTGTGTTGCCAGTCAATTTGATGTCCACCTTTAGTCGTCTTTCTCTCTATTTTTTTCGACATATTGTGGAGTATGTTGCGTGAGTCCAAACTGTCTAAACACGTGATCAGATACGTGCATCTCCACAATCTCGAAACAAACGAGAGGAATTCTGGCCCTCCATATGCCGTGTCCCTCCATACAAATCAGTGGTAGACGAGGTAGGTGAGGGGTGTATGGCTGCCACTCGAACTGCAAAAAAATCCAAATGTTAATATCTCTTTGAAATATATTGATATAATAGAGTACTTCAATTCAAATTCGATACCTGAAAAATTTTCATCCGGTCGAGCTCCCCTCTGTAAAAATCTAATTGCCTAGCCGGGGTCTCATCATAGGCTTTTGTGACATTCCATCTGCAAGAAACGTTTTTGTTCAAAATGTTAAATTTAAAATTAAATACAAATGAGATTCAATTTGACGATTTTTACCTGCAGCCTAGTGGAATATGTCCATCTAACTCTCGGATCTCGCATAATCGTGGTTTCAAAACCAATCTTTCCCATGCCCAAACTTGTAGCAATGTTAAACAACCCTTGAGCTCCTTATTTTGCATTAAAGCAACGTTTGACATTTCTCGATATAGGTATGCTAAAATAGCACTACCCCAGGATAATGTCCCGCACACGTCGAAGTCTTCGATAAGTGGTAACCACCTAGCGCGAGTTCAAATACGTTAGTCATGTATACTAAGAATAGTGAGCAAAAATCAATACTTAATATTTACTTACCTCAAATAGACTTTATGTTTACTTGAATCGGGAAAAAGAAGCGTCCCGATCATGTGCATAATATATGCTCTCGCATGCTGTTGGATCATCACTTCATGTGCATCTTGTGGCAACGGGTTTCCAAAACTCTCCTTAAGCCACTTCAATCTAATATATCCTCCAGGCAAGGACTCCGGAGATATTCCTAACAAATTATCACATATGTTTCGCCAAACATGCCTATCAGTCCCCGTGACACAAGGGCCATCAATGCGGAGACCTAGGATCACTGCTACATATTGAAGAGTAATAGTTGTCTCGCCAACACGTAGATGGAAAGTATTAGTCTCCGGCCTCCATCTATCCATCAACACGTTAAGCAGTGCCCAATCGAGCTTCATCCATTTCAATTTTGAGCAAGTAAGAAAACCGGCTTGGGATACTAGGGCAATGATGCGAGGATCATCAAGTGGCCAGCGCGTATGTCCAAGCCTATGATCAATCATAACCAGCTCTTGTCCTCTCTGCACATAAATGAAAACAAATATTAGATTATAAAAATGAATAAGTAATATGTGATTGTAAATATGTTATCATTACCGATGTAAATGATATGCTCTCCGAACGGTGGCGTGACTGATCATAAAGGACTTCATCATTAACCAGTCCGGGAAGCATCGTGTATATACCTGCACATATAACGGTAACTTATGAGTTTTTGCCAAATCAAATACATATGAACAATGTATCTACTTGCTAAATCAATAACATATAATGATGACATATCATTAGAAAATATTTTACTTACAAATTAATTGCTATCTACTTGCTCTTGATAGACAACGAGACCTATTATGTCCTAATTGATTACATTGTCCACATCGGATTCGTGACGCTACTCCTTCACGACCTTGATCCATGGTAGATCTAATGCGTACGGATTTTGGTCATCCCACTTGTCTTTTTGTGCTTAGGTGGTAATATATAAGGTATATACAAATCCGACCAATAACGAGTATCATCAGGAGGATGAAAACTCTCCTTATAAGCCTTCCGATAATGATTTGTTGAATACCAAGCTGAGCAATTCCGGTCATAAGGCAATCTAGCGTCACCATCTTGATTGGAACTAGCCGCTAAAACGTGTTGACATGGGATTTTCTGTAATTGTGGTATACTACAAGTACAACTGCACTCATGATCGTCGAGATGAACGGTGTATGTACCATCACAATCTTTAACCTCCCACTCATTGTTATTGAATTGTTCAATTCTACATGTTCTCACAGCCACAATTCTTTTCTGCAAAATAATCTCATTTTTTGGAGTGTACTTACTCGTCCAATTTGCACTATCACTACGCCTCTTATTAAAGTATGCGTTCAATCTATAAAACTTCCTTGCAACTAAGGCTTGAATTGGCATAGCACGGGTACCCTTAAGTACGCCGTTGAAACTTTCGGAGCAATTAGTTGTCATTATACAATATCGCACTCCACCATCTTTACATAATGCCTATCGATCTTCGTATTGTGGCTTCAAGTTTTGTTCAATCTAATCGTGGGCTTCAAGTGATATGGATTTAATTTTCTCTCTACAATGCTCATATACCAGTGAGTCAGTTGCACAACCGGCTTGTCATAATAGATTTTGTAAATTGACCTCTCCATGTTTTTTCTTAAAATTAGCTCTTATATGCCGCAAGCAATATCGGTGATGATGTGGTGCACTCCACCCCTCGTGCAAGGCTCATGGAATTCCTTTCATCCGATCAGAAATAAAGGTAATAACTCGTGGGCTTTGAACAGTCAGAATATATTTGTAAATACATTGAAAAAACCACTTCTAACTCGATGTATCCTCCACCTCCACAACTGCAAAAGCTATAGGAAATAGCCCACCGTTTGCATCTACACCGGTCGCAACCAAGAGCACTCCTTTGTACTTGCCATATAAATGTGTTCCATCGATACTTAAGAGCGGACGACAAAAAGAGAACCCTCTGATAGCGGACCCAAATGCCCAAAAAACCCGTATGAACCTCTCCATTTCTGGCGCGACCTCCTTAGATACTATGTTATATTCGGTACCCGGATTTTTTCTCATAATTGCTGAAAGGTAATGCGGAAGTAATTGGTAAGATTCCTCCCAATCTCCAAAGATTTTAGTCAATGTCTTCCTCCGTGTATCATATGTTTTAAACTTGGATATTGTTATTCTTTTCATATCATATACCCTTGTAATTATCTGTCCTGGAGTAAGATCAAGTTCCCGCCTAATTTCGGGCATAATTAGCTTTGTGATATAAGAGGAAGTCAAAGTCTTATGATCATAAGTTACAGTCGGATTAGAACATGTATGGAGTCCGCAATAACTAGAGATCATAAATTGGCCATTAGATTTTTTCCTAACAGCTGCATTAAGCTTCCATGGACACTTTGAATTTCTATCATCTGCAACACTTGTATTCTCTCCTTGACCTTTCTCATTAAAGTAACACTTTACATGATAGCTAGTTGTGTTGCTTTTCACCATCTTGAATTTGACCCGGTTTTTGATTGCCCATTCACGTATAGCGAAAATTAATGTTTCCTTGTTCTCGAAAAGTTCTCCTTTTTTGAAAGCAAAGTCCTCAGGTCGATCGAAATTAGGGCTAGGATCGACGAACTCAGCTTGTGAGGCATTTATCCACTCATCATTTTAAAACTCTTCTGGCAACGGCTCTTCAGACTCTACATAGTCGTTATTTACGCAATATTCATCCATCCAACTTACGTCATCATTGTTCTCTCCAATTGCATACTGCATACTATCAAGATATTCATCCTCTTCAGCATCTTCAGTATCATCATCGGCATCTACATCCTCATCAGTATCCTCTACTATTATAGAACCCCCCGGTAAATCAACTGAAACATGACCCGGCGAGTTGTGGAACACGTCATTTGACATTGCACCCGACTCATTTTTTAAGCGCATGGCACTTTGAGATAACGAGATTTGATTTTCAAGCATGCGGGAGAACTCTCCATGAGCATATGAAACTTCAGCAACCCCAGACATTGGAATATTTTTAATAAACAACTCGATTGATATTTGTTTTTCCACAAGTTGTGTCATGTTATTCAATTCTTCATCATTGGTGTTCTCTACAGCAATTGTTCTTTGATCATTTATTGGACAATTACAGAAGACCTTAATGGAATTTTCGACGTGATTAATTCCAGTAACTCTGTATATTTGTGCCATCAATCTATCACAGTTGCAATTTCTCGACAACATGAACATTTTCCTAGAGCCTCCATCGTATATAGGCATATTATTCATTCCAACGCTCAGTTTTCCATTGAATAAGCAAATAATCGGTACTCCATTCACCATTTTAACTGAAGCATTAAAATTCATCATATAAAAATTATATTTTTTTCCAAACATTTAATCATAATTATATATATTTCTTCTAGATATACAACATTAACTAAACAATACATATAAATTTATGGAAAAATAAAAATTTGTTCCTTGATTAAATTTCAGATCTCCTCAGCCTCGTAGAGAATAGACGGCGTCGGCGTCCGATTTGAGGGAGGAAGAGGCGAGTTGGGTTTGGGGGGAGAGAGATAGGGATTGTTGGGTCGGATTTGGGATAGATGGAGATCGGGTTTGGGACATTGATCGGCTTGAGGGAGAGTGAGAGCTCGGGAAAGAGAGAGGGAGAGATCTGGAGTTGGAGCTCAGGAGAGAGAGGGGGGGGATTGGGAGTTGGTGCTCGGGAGAGAGAGAGGGAGATGGCAAGAGAAAGAATTCGGGAGGCGAATGTGCCCTTAAAGTCTACAATTCTACGGGACTAGTAGTCCTGTAGAAATTGCAGAGCCCACTTCTATTACGACAAATCCACGGGACTAGTAGTCCCGTTGATTTGTTGGGCAGAGGGGAAGTGGCTCTGCAAAACTTACGGGACTAGTAGTCCCGTACGTTTTGTTAATGAACAAAAATTATACGGGACTACTAGTCCCGTATATTTTCTAAGTTCGCTAACCATTAGATTAGTTGGCTCTAAACATACGGGACTAGTAGTCCCGTATGTTTTCTGAAGCCACTTTTTCAAAATTGACCTCTTTTTGGCCTATTGGCCAATAAAAGGTCTATTTTGCTAATTATTTAGCAAAGTGGTCTATTTTGCTATATATTTCATAAAAACAGTCTATTTTGCAAAATTTCCCTTTCTTCACATTGCTTAATGGGATCGCTGACGTGGTAATATTCAAGGAAAATGATAGGGGCACACCCCTAACCTCAACCACACCATCTCTCTCATTTGCTACAGTGCAACGGGCCCTACATGGGATTTTAAATTAAAATCTCATATGGGGCCCGATGCACTGTAGCAAATAAGAGAGGGGGTGTGGCTGAGGTTGTGGTTGGGGGTGTGCCCCTAGTGCCACCCAATATTCAATTATCACTTATGATCCGTATATGTTAATAATTTAAACTGTATTAATCTGGTTATATGTGTTGCGCGTCGACGGAAGCGTGCGCACAAACCAAACGAATCGGCGAGTAACGAGAGGAGAACAACTAACGAGTGTAATTCACAAAAGAACGGCAAAAAACACGGAGATTTACGTGGTTCGACAAATTGCTTACGTCCACGGGGAGAGGATAGAGAGATTTTACTATATGGAGGAGAAAACAACGGGTTACAACTCTCACAAACGCTCAAAATAACACTAACCAAAGATCTCTCACTCCCTCACAATAATCTCCCTCTCAAAGCGCTCAAAACAATAAATAATCTTTGATTAAAACCCTAACAAAACGTGTTTTCTTTTATATCAAAACCCAAACAAAAACAGTTTGGGAAACCGAATCAACCCAAGAACCCGATATCAGTCGACTGATGATCCCTCATCAGTCAACTGATTAATGTGCATCGGTCGACTGATGAGGCATCATCAGTCGACTTGCCTGAACGAAAACAATGACCATGTAATTTGTGCATGTTGTCGGTCGACTGATGTCTTACCATCATTGAATGACACGAACTATTTCCTGTAGTGCTGAATTTTCTGATTTTCCACAATTTGAACAATTCGTCGCGGTTTTCTACAATATGTTTATGTAAGCAACACATCTGTCGACAAAAACGAAAAAGATTACAACATTGTTTACTCATTCTTTTTCGAGGGAGAGTGACTTTGGGAATTGGGGGTATTTAGTGAATTTGGAGCGCAATTTTTTTTTTTCACTAAAAGGAGGAGAGATAAAACGGAGGAGGAATCCAGGGTTCAATGTGTGGAATTGTGGAGCGAGCGAGAGAGCATATAATTGATGGTTTGTTTGCGTCCCTTTTCCATGTTAATCCCTGTGTTATTTTGTTTTTGTGTATGGATGTAGAGGAGAAATTATTGAAGAGAGAGAAAAACATATCCGATGGTGAGATGTA